GCTGGAGACGGGACTCTCTGAGGTAATCTTCCCTTCTTAATGCTCTTTGTTATCGCTGTGTGCACATCCTGATGGGTCTGGAGCTGGAGACCCATGAGAGCTGAGAGCTTGGAAGCTGCTTGTAGGTGGTTATTAGGAAAAGGCTGGGGAAAAGGGTGCTATGTTTGTGCCTCTGCTCCTTCATTTGTGACTTAGAGCAAGTATTGCCATAGTGTTGGGAACAGAGGCAAGCTGAGCTGAGTGTGTGCGGGAAATGACTGTAAGAGCTGATGGAAGAAAGGAGGAAGCCTAATTTCCCCATCTGCTCTGCAAAACGTTCAACCCCACTCCCTCCTGAGAAGCAAACAGCACGGGGTAGTGGGCAGGGATAGGGGGATCCTCATGTCAGGCAGCGTGGGAGCTCAGTATTGCTGAGGAAAAAGGGGCCTATTTTAAAGAGCCACTGCTGAGGAGAGCAACATTTTAAGATACAGGACCCAAAGGATCTTGAAGTAGCCATCTGCTTGCTTCAGGGGCTGAGCCAAGAGGCACACAGTTCAACTGACCTTGCCTGTTCTGCGAGTCAACTGTTCTATTTGCAAGTAACTTGTAGAGCTATTCTAAGCTAGAGGAGTGAAAGTATTTTTTTTAATCTTTGCATAATGTTTCCCTTGATTTAGTGACCGGGATCTGGCTGTCCACTGAAGCAGCCATAATAAGCACCACAGATAACAATGACTGACTAAATCAGCGGGGAAACCTTCACAAATAATCTAGAAGGAGGAGGAAGTGCTTAGACTCCCAGGTCAAACTGTAGAAACCAGTAAGCCTAGAGCTGGCACAGAGACTGCCTCCACATCCCAGAGCAGAGCTCCAAGAGGCCCACATGCTTGCTGACCATGAATGCAGCAGGAAGACAGAGACAGCCAGCTCATATAGCAAAGTCTCAAAACATGTCCAAGACAGGCAGAAAATGAAAATTCAACCTCAGGAAGCAGCAAAAAGCAGTATTTGGTAGAGGCAATAAAGTGCAAAATGGAAGGGAAGGAGGTGAGATTAGCAGCAGGTGACTCAGTTTCGGCAGAAGTCCTGCTGCTCAGATAACAGAGGTAAGCAGTGAGGCAGTACTACTCACCAGTGACACACTATTTTGGTTACTAAAGAGTGACAATGCAGGGGAAAGCCTGCAAGCCTGCAGGTGAGCTGCAGTCAGCTGCACAGTCAGGGTTTCTTTTGCTTGAAAGACTTTGCAAAATGCAGTCACAGAAACTGGAAACCTCCAGACATTCTGTAAAAAGAATTGGATGTGAAACCTGTATGCCAACTAAAGAGTCAGTTTTAACAAATTCAGATTAAGAGAATCTCTTCCTCACTCACAAGGAAAACATTTATCCCATGTGATCAAGAGAAAGCCTTCACATTTTCGATTCTGTAGTGATGGGCATGAATGTAACAGGCCAGCAAGGGATAAAGCCACCCAGATCAGAATCCCAGGATCAAATGAAGGTCAGACAGTGCCATGTGTAATACCAGTTTGAGTCTTGAACTGCTATATTCTGAGAGCCTTTTTAAGCTGAAACCCTCACCTGCTTTTTTCTGAAGAGACCTCCTTGTTTTGCAGATGCGACTGGAGAAGGACAAATTTTCTGTAAATCTTGATGTGAAGCACTTCTCCCCTGAGGAGCTAAAAGTGAAGGTGCTTGGGGACATGGTAGAAATTCATGGGAAACACGAGGAGCGCCAGGTACTTCTACTTTAACTGTGCGACTGATAGAGTCAGTGTGAACTTCCTCATCTATGGTTAAACAAGGAGACTGCAAAACAATCCTCTCATGTGCTCATCTCAAATACTTCTAATGTTTTTTATCACCAATCCTAATGGAAGATGCTCCGTGCAACCTCCCCTGCTGATCCCAGATGGGGCAGCAACAGGGTAGAGATTTATTGCTGATGAACTCTGAACTGAACTGAAAAATCATCTTTGAAATGGGCATTTCTGGGCCTCCCTCTTTCTGGGAAGAGGTCAGGAATGCAGGGAGGCATTCAATAAGCTAACAACAAATGGCAATAATTAAACCATATAATGAATCAGGCCGAAACAGCCCTGTGCCGTTACCATGAGGCTACCTTTTCCTGAAAAAGGTCCATCTATCAGCTTGTAATCCTTAAAGGCTGTGTTCTGCTGTCAGTCATCCCACTGGTTGATGGCTTTGGAGACCTGTGTGGCAATTGGGCAGACAGAAGTCAAAAGCCATATCCAAAGCTGTACGTAACAGGGTTTGCCAGTCCCCATCTCCCTCCTACCCCCACCTCCTTGCCAGAAGGAAACGAATCCACATGACAAAGTAGCTATGCCACTGGAATTGTCAGCTCTAAGAGCATCTGGAAGCACAAATCTGTCAGTCAGGAAATACAGCCTTACTTGTAGCTGGTGGAAGCCTGTAATCCTGACATAGCTTCTGCAAATTTTTTTGGCTAAGAAAATAATCAAGCACTATAGCAGAGATCAGCTCACTAGGAAGCTGTGTATTACTAGAGCTCTGGACACCCTCAGGAACAGGCATGGCTGGCACTGCATGTAGGTCTAGCTCCTGCATCTTAGGCATGACAGCACACCACTGTGCAATGAAGCCAGTCTCTGGCTGGCACAAGAGCCGGAACATAAAGCCTCCTCCTGTACCTGCAGGCACCTGCAGCCTAGACAGGGCAGTGTCTCACTTCAGCCAGTCCTGGCTCTTTAAAAAGGGCATCTCATAATAAAAACTCTTTTAACTTTCTGAAAAGTTTTCCTTTGAGTGCTGGAGCTTCCTGATCTCAGACTTCATGCAAAGGGCCCATAGTTTAGGTGGAACTGAGTGAACATTTCTAATCAGGGCTGTTCCTTCTCTTCTCCTTTTGAAGGATGAGCATGGCTTTATTGCCAGGGAGTTCAACAGGAAATACAGGATTCCAGATGATGTGGACCCTCTGACCATAACCTCATCACTCTCTCTGGATGGCGTCCTGACGGTGAGCGCACCGAGGAAACAAAGTGACGTCCCTGAGCGCACTATCCCTATCACCCGTGAAGAGAAGCCTGCCATTGCAGGAGCCCAAAGGAAGTAGGCTGCTACTTAAAGTCACTGTGGGGGGCCATTCAAGAGCACTTTTCATCAGATACCATCTATACTGAATGGCTACTCTTATTATTTATGCTGAGTAAGTTTACTAACAAATAAAACATGAATAAGCAGTTTGTATTTTTTTGGTTTGAGCACCAAGGACAAGGGAAGTGTTGGGTCAAGAAAGCTGTGTAAGGTTGCTGTGCAGGGAAACATACCTGGCATCATTCTTGCTTAGAGCTTGAGTGGCAGGTGTGTCCAGGAGAGCTCATCTTGGTGTTCAGAAACACTTTGCTAGTTTCACTTTGTGTACACTAATGTTTTGCAAACATCTAATTGCGTAAGCCTTTTCCTTCATTGTTGCCAGAGGATTTCAGACTGGTTCAGAAGCAACAGAAAAGTTTCTCAAGTGATTAGACTGGTAAAACAACTTCATGACACTCGAAACCCATTTGAAGTGTGGGTATTAGATAACAACTGAATGGAAGACAACTGTATCTTAAATCTCTAGAATGACTCAAGAAGAAGCATCCAAATGCTGCAACCAATTCAGAGCAGTTACAGATGAAAACTGCAGAGCTGCAGTAAACACGAGTATAACCAGAAAGGAAAAAAGTGTCCTGCTCTCATGGTGCAAATCACTTCACTTTGAAACTATGTTGTCAGTGCCCTTCAAATAATGAACAGGATCTGACGTCTACAGTATTAATCTGATTTATGCTAACATTGTTGAGTAGTACAAAACACTATTAAATCCTTCTCAGGTGTCATCATCTGCTTAGCACCTCTCTTCAAAGGGATATGAACATAAAGGAAAGGCTGTATTACTGGAACTGAATTTCTAAAATTCATCTCCAAAAAGGACAGAATGCCATAGATCTGTTGCACAGGTCATCAGACTCAGTTATGACCTGACCTACTTTCTATGTTACTTATAGCTGCTAAGACAAAAGTCATATTAGAAGGGATCAGTTTAAATCTCAAATGAACTGAGAAGGCATCCTTCTTCCATGGCTTTAAGCAAGAAAAACAAAATGAACACTCAGTGATGTGGGGTCATTGTCAAATACCCCAAATCCCACCTAGTCTAGTGTTTCCTATTAGCTGGTTCTAATAAGCTCTTGCAGTTAAGGTGTTAGTTGGGCCTGACTGAAAAGGTGCAGGGTGACTGGTGACTTGCAGTCCCCTCTGCACACAAAACAAATGACAGAAACACACATAGGTTACAAACAATACAGCTTAGAAAGCAGGAAGAACCTTTTTCACATGATGCTACATTTGGCTTTAATGTGTGACAGGTCTTTTTGCTTGAAGGACATCCTTGTAGCACTGCTAGCAGACAGGCCTCCTGTTTTTCTGAAGGCAAAGTCTTCAGATTCTCTCCATCTCTGTTGCTTTTCCTGCATCTTTCTTGTTCCTTCTCTGAGTGTTGGACACAGGCAAAGAAAATGCTGCCATATGGAGGCCTGTAGTCTATTGTGTAGCAAGACTAAGCAGTTTGGTTGAATGGACCAATGAGGTTCTTGTTCAAATCCTAAAAGAATAAACACAAAAAAACTTGAGGAACTAAGTGCAAAATAGTAAGAACATATCCAGAAAGTGCAACTGAGGGAAAGCTTTTCTATAGAGCAGGGTTTGTTAGGCTCAAACTCAGGAGCAAGTAATGGGAATTTTGAGTGAAAGCTCCTTGGGGATAAATGTGATGAGGTTACCTAGACAAGAACACTTGAAATGCAAATACCACTCCCTGAATGACTCGAAATACCTGTTCTGTGGTGGCACAGGAGCACAACTCAACAATGAGAAAAGCACAGAAAACAATTCTGTCATCTCTAAGCACAAATGTCATTCAGAAGCTCCTCTTTAGCTACACCACAGATCCAACAGACTATGTTTCAGTTCTGTCCACATACTTTTCATTCACTGATGCTTTCCCTTGTTGTAATCTGAAGAGTATGTTGTTTCAAAGCAGTGAGTATACTGAAAAGAAAAACTCACATTTAGCATGGCTAAATATAAGTAAAAAACTTTAACATTTTATATCTTACAGGAAGACCAAAGTATCTGAAATTGCACTACTTTCAAATCAGTCTAACCTAAGATCACAAAGCTTTGCTGATGACTTTTGATTCACCATCTGAACAGCAAAGGAAAGAGAGCTGTACTGGGGCCACTGTTACAAGGAGTAAGACCGAGTTTAAACAAAAAAGCATTCCTCACATCTTTATTCCTGTAGTGAGACTGTTGTAGGGCACTCATCAGAGAAAAGGGTGCTGACTGTTGCCTTTCTGCATTTTTAAAAAACAGTAGAAAAGACTAGGAGCAGGGCTGCAGAAAGGGAAGCTACTCATGGGAGGCTTACCTCTGATGTATTCATAGCTGGGGCTGGAAAGGATAATGACCTGTATGCATGACAAATTATGTGACCAGTGATCATCTCAACTGAGATTTGCTGTATCCACAATAAGGAAAAGCACAAGGACATCCTTGGGAAGGAAGCGGCTTGGGCTGCACAGTTCTCTGGATATCGTATCACTATTCATTCCAGTTCCCCATAAGGTTTTTTGTTCAGTAATCATTTTCATTGGTGGTGCACCTCCAGCCAAACGGGGAAAACTTAGAAGTGCTGTCCTGGTCCATCCACAGTTCCCCATGGCCAGTAGCATGCATTAAGGAGCCATGAAGGGAGTTCTACAAACAGATCTTGGACATGATCTCGCAATAGAAATCAACAACTCCCTAGGATCAGCTTGGATCTCAACAGCAGGTAACATGACATGGAATGTTGTCCCTTCCACCCCCTGGTGACTGGAGAGGGATCTCCTACACTTCCACATGTGACACAGGGCATCAGAGAACTGTGTTCCTTCTTGATGCCAAAAAGCTTTCTTTTTTCATTGTGGTGGTTTGTGGGTTTTTTTGGTTTGTTTTTTTTTTTTTTTTTCCACGGGCAGCAGGGGGAGATGGTATGCTAAGTATCTGTTTTCTTAAACTGTGATACTGGTTTCTCAGCTTCACCTTGCCTCTCAGAGTAACTTACTCACCCTTTGACATAGACGAAGTGATTTACCAAAGGCCACAGGAACCTAACGCCTGAGCCAGGCCCAGGCCTCATCAACTGCAGGCACTAGATCTGTTGGAGCTTGCCTTTGCCGATTTTAAGCCTTCCACTGCCATTACCCCTGTGTCTCCTGAAACGCTGTCCTTGCCCTGTGCAACAGCTGAGGGCACACAAATAGAACAGGCAACCGTAAAGCATCGCTATTCTCTCTCAAGCTGTAACGCGCGGGCCCGGGACTGCAGCGGCCACCATGGCTCTTCACTCTCAAGCTGTAACGCGCGGGCCCGGAACTGCAGCGGCCACCGTGGCTCTTCTCCCTCAA